ACTAGAACACAGTTTAAGAAATATAAAATGGGATGTTATAGGACTGTCAGAGATGAAAAAAGCCGGTCAACAGATAGAAGAACATGAAAACTTTGTACTCCTCTACTATGGCGAACAAAGCGGAAGAAATGGTGTCGGTTTCTTAATACAAAATCACTTGAAAAAATATATTGACAACTTTAGTTTTTATACAGACAGAATAGTCCGTATAGACATGGACTTTAACAATAATTATATAACCTTCATACAAATATATGCACCAACAGAAAAAGCACCAGAATCAGAAATAGAAAACTTCTATAATGACTTAAGAAAGGCAATGAAAGACATCAAAAAGGATACTTTTATCGTAGGTGATTTTAACGCTAAGATTGGTTTGCCAAGAGAAGCAGAAAACCTAGTGATAGGAAAATTCGGATATGGGAGTAGAAACAGTAGAGGACAACGATTAATAGAATTCTGCTACGAGAATAAATTGATAATAACAAACACAAACTTTAGAAAGAACACAAATAATAAATGGACCTGGCAATCTCCGGCCGGGAACACAAGAAATGAAATTGACTACATATTAGCTAAAGATATAAAAATAGTTAGCGATCCTGAAGTACTGAACATACCATTTTCATCTGACCATAGGGCTGTAAGGTGTACTATAAAGCTAAATGGAAATTTCAAACAAAGTAGGAAAAAATTCATCAACAAGAGAAAAAACTTCACGTCAATCGAACAAGACTCATTAAAAACGTCACTAAGAGATGAAGACAATGTAATTGGTGGAACAGCAGATATTACATATGAAAATATTATTAACACAATCGAAAAATGCGTAAAAAACTACCAAATTCACATAAAATTGAAAAGAAGCATGTAGATATCAGTAAAGAACAAGATATTATGGAACTTATAGAGGAAAAGGAACAACTAAAAAAAATCAAACATAGAAGATTTAAGCAAAGGAAACGACTAAGAATACTACATAAAGAGATAAGACAAAAATTAAAGATAAACAAAAAACTCATAGGCTTAAGATAATACAAGAAGAATTAGAGCTATCAGGGTCTAGTAAAAGAGCTTACAATAAAATTAATAATACGAGAAATTGGATAATGAAATTAAAAGCAAAAAATAACAAAATAGTATCATCCAGAAGATATTTGTTACAAATAGCAAACGAGTTTTTTAAAGAATTATACAAAGAACATAAATTCAATATACAAAATAGTCTAAATAAAACAATTACTCAAAATCAAAGTGAGGAAGTTCTCCCATTCCTTTAATCGGAAATAAGAAATGGTATTTCCGAGATGAAGATAAATAAAAGCCCCGGTGAAGATGACATAATATGTGACGTAATTAAAGCATTTGATGATTCGATTATTCCTTTATTAACTGCCTTATTTAACCAAGTATTATTTCAGAGGAAAGTCTCCGATAAATGGAAAAGCAATAAGCACTGCATCATCAGCATACAGCAGACAATTTACTTTTATGTCACCCAATTTCACACCCAAACAGCAATCTTTCAGCTTTTGTAAACAGCTGTCGAGATACAGTATGAACAGCCAGGAAGACATGACACAACCCTGTTTTACGCCCGTTTGGACGCTAAACATGGGTGACAGGTCATGCCCTACCCGCACACAGGCTTTACAGTCACAGAAAAGAGACTGCACAGCCCTTAGCAATCGGCCATCCACACCATACCCCGGCAACAGTTCCCACATTTTCTTCCTTACAACCTTATCAAATGCTTTCTCAAGATCAACAAAAGCACAGAAAATCTTCTGGTTAGCAGCCAGAAGCTTTTCCGTGATCATACGGAGAGAAAAAATTTGATCCGTGCATCCTCTTCCAGGTCTAAATCCGCATTGTGCCTCCCATAGCAATCTTTCCGATTTCTCTTGCATCCTACGTGTCAAAACCTTCGAGTAAACTTTACTTGCTAAACTGGTCAAGCTGATCGCCCGATAGCACCCGCAGTCAAAATGTGAACCTTTACCTTTATATAAAGGCACAATGACTGCGGATCGCCAATCATCCGGGACATCCCCCGTCCGCCAGCACAAATTGCACAGCAGATGAAAGCTGTCCCAGACGCGAGGCCCACCATACTTGACCATTTCAGCAGTAACTCTGTCTAGTCCCGCAGCCTTACCACATTTCAAACTTCGAATCGCACGTTCAATCTCTTTCATACTGATGACCTCAGTGTCATCGAGGTCCGGGTCTGGAGTACCAGTCACGGCGTCATCCCCGGATCCCTCACTAAGATCATCACACGCATACATTTCTCTATAAAATTCGCTCCATCGCTGCATGACGTCCGATTTTTCTGAGAGGACGTAATTAGTTCTCGAAAGCACTTTGTTCATTCTTAAGGCCGTCGCATCACTTCGGGTCCTTCCAACCTCTTTCCAGAAGAGTTTGGAGTTCTCCTTAAAGTTGTGCGACAACCTTTCATCCGCTTCCATTCTACACCTTTCACGCACTTCCTCAATCAATGCTTTCGTGTGAACTTTCTGCAGCTTATATCTTTCTTTCATCTTCTCTCTCATATCCTTATCATTACTAGAGGTCAAGTAGTCTAACCATGCTTTCTTCTTCTTCTTTACAGCTTCTTTCACTTCATCATTCCACCATGCATCTCTTCTTTTACTACTGCCTCTTTTTATTGTTCCACACACTTCTTCCGCTGCACTTACCATTCCATCCCTAAGGTTCTGCCATGTTCTTTCTACACATTCGTTTCTGCCATCGATGGTGTCAAGCTTTTCGGCTACCCTCGCATGATATTTGTCCCTAGTATCCGCTTCCTGAAGCTTCCAGCTTCGGATGCGACAGACCGACTGTGGTTCTGTCACTGTCGTCCGGTAGCGCCAACCCGCGAACAGACCCCTAAATCTAGTAATCACTAGATAGTGATCCGTTCCGATCCAGGTCAGCACCCCTGAACACTCGCGTATCCATAACCTGTTTTCGCAGTCGGTCATCCACCAGGAACAAATCGATCATACTTCTCTCATTCTTTCTTTCTCTAGTATACATATGGATTTTCTTGTGATTAAACATAGTGTTTGTCACAAGAAGACCCTTTTCCTTGCATACCGCCAGTATAAGCTTGCCAGCATCATTAACCCTTTTATCGCCAAACTTTCCAAGTACCGACTCGTACCCTGGTCGAGCGGTACCAACACATCCATTCAAATCACCACATACAACAATTCTTTCGTTTCCCCTAGCCATATCTAGAACTTCTCTTACATTCCCCCAAAACTCCTCCAGCTCAGCCCTGGACGACGAAGCTACCGGCGCATAAACAGCCAAAAGGAATAACTTCGTCAGTCCCAATTTAAAGCGAACCCAGAGAAGTCTTGAGTTCACAAGCTTATATTCAGTCATAACATCGACCAACCGAGAAGACAGCAGCACCCCCACTCCCTGGCAGGCGTTCTCGCTCTCCGGGACTCCGGACCATAGAGCAAACGCCCCGCCAGGGAGCTCTTCAGTACCACTGCCCTTCCGTTTGGTCTCCGACATACACACGACATCTAATTCTCTTTCTTTCATTATTTCGATCAACTCATTCGTCTTATCTCTCATGCCTCCTCTAACATTCCACGTGCCAACTCTGCACTCCGTCCTCCACCTTCCGCCGTGTCGGGCTGTGCGTGACGGGTGGCGGTCCCCATCGCCGCTTTGCGCGCTGCATTCCACACCAACGGGGACGAGCTGGTGTGCGTCGCCTTGGGGGGACGCCCTAACCCTCGTTGACATGGGTGCGCAGCTGAGTAGAATTGCAGCCCTGAAAAGGGCTGGCAGGGGTCGCGACGAGCACGCTTCTACAATGAATACTATTGTATTGTAAATTATATTTCAACAGAAAAGTAGCAACAGCAAACTGATTGCTTAAACACGGCACTTGTTAAGTTTATCTTTGGTGCCGGTGTAGTTTCTGTTTGCAATAATTGTGAAAGCGACTAATCTAAGTTGGCCTAGATAACGAGTTTTATTTAGTTATTTTTTTATTGTAAAGATAACAAATAATAAGACTGAGGTATCTTAGAAAAATACAATTTTTTTAATATCGCTCAGAAGAAACACTTTGAGATAATGATAATGCATCAAGAAACCAAATTGTGTGGTTCAATTGACCCGAAGCATGAGGTCAAATGAGCCATTAGATAGTTGTTACGAAGATACATACATACATACATATAATCACGCCTCTTTCCCGTCGGGGTAGGCAGAGACCAGTTCTTTCCACTTGCTACGATCCTTACATACTTGTTTTGCTTCGTCCACTTTCATTATTCCCTTCATACATGCTCTACGGTTTAGGGTACTCTTGACCTGGCCTTTACGAAGATAAACGTCATAAACAATACATTGTCAACGTTTTACGGGAACAATAAATAAGTAAACTATTTAAAAAGTATAGTTTATAATTTCTTAATGAACATGTAAATTTTGCTCTATTGGAGATAAATGAAAAAAGTTAAATTTATGTTCAGATTATTTCGATGGTGTTGCTTCATTTTCCTAGACTCAGTTAACAATTGTAAAATTGTGAATAAATTCAAATCTTTTAACTGTATGCTGTATGAAAGCACTATTAAAGCCATTTATTCCTAAATATATGCGAAGGTTAAAACACTGGAAGGAATTGGCTCTCAAAACTGGGTACACCTCTTTTCATACTAGAATAAATAATTTAGCTTAATTTAATTAGCTACCATTTATTTATTTATTTATTCTTTATTGCATTCCTTAATATAAAAGAATACAAAGGGCGGACTTAATGCCTTGAGGCATTCTCTACCAGTCAACCCATGGAGTGGTGAGAATTTGAAGTAGGTGTGGCGAAAGAGATTAAAAACGAAATAAAAATGATAATTAATTACGTTATATATTATATATTTTGGAAGGATGGTGTTATTGAACCTTCATCTAGTCCATGGTGTTCACCTGTGGTGCTGGTGAAGAAGAAGGACGGCAGCATGCGGTTTTGTGTTGACTACCGCCGCCTGAACGACGTTACGAAGAAGGACAGCTATCCCTTGCCTAGAATTGATGACACGCTGGACATGCTCACAGGCGTAAAATGGTTTAGTACGCTGGACCTGAAAAGTGGCTACTGGCAGGTTGAAATTGACCCTAAGGACAAGGAGAAAACTGCATTCTCCACAGGAAAGGGTCTGTGGCAATTTAAAGTCATGCCGTTTGGATTGTGCAATGCTCCAGCAACGTTTGAAAGGTTGATGGAGCTTGTACTTACCGGCCTAATTGGAGATGCCTGTCTGGTTTACTTGGATGACATCATCATCGTAAGCCGTACGTTTGAGGAACACCTTCAAAATATGGAACGCGTGCTCGTGAAGATCCAGAGTACCAACCTCAAGTTGAGTCCGAAGAAGTGCTCACTATTCAAATGGCAAGTTAGCTTTTTGGGGTATTTAGTGTCGGAAGAAGGTATCCGCACGGATCCAGAGAAATTTGCCGCTGTCAAGGAGTGGCCGCTTCCAAGAGACAAGACACAGGTTAGAGCAATTTTGTGTTTGTGCTCTTATTATCGGCGATTTGTGAAGAACTTTGCAGATATAGCCAAACCTCTGCACAAGCTAACCGAGGAGAAACGACATTTCTGCTGGGATGAAAGTTGCGATATTGCATTTCAGTAGCTCAAGAACCGTCTGTGCAAATCAGCGAATTTAATTAAATTTGAAGTAAAATTACGATTATGCCGATTTTAGAAACTGCAATTCTGCTTTTGGAAGTTCACTTGTTATAATTTTTATAAATTGTTACATTTAATAACATTTTCATCTATAAATGTTATTAGGTGAATAAAATTGTAATTTATATTAAATTTTGCTGTTTTTTTTTTTCGGAAAATAAATGTTTTTCGTACAAGAATTGATAAAAATCGTAAGGATCGAAATGAATACGACAATTAAATCAAAAAGGCAAGGACAAGCAGATAAAACTTTTACAAAGAATGGTCTAAAGAAAACAAAGACAAGTTGCGGAAATTGGAAAAATAGCTGCCGATGTTAAAAGCTTAGGTCGCCTATCCTCCAACAATTTCCTTTTCAAAGATTTATTTTCACCATTGAATAAATCTCAGCGAAAAAGGATATTGTTGCACTTTTAGATCGTAGAAAAATTTATTATTTCACTTAGATAACAAATAATCTCCTGTGTTTCATTGGTTTGCGAATAAAGTTAATAAGATTATTGAAACTTCAAATTGACTTACTATTGAATTAAAAGACTGATTGATAACTACTTTTAAAAAAGTTATAATCTTTAGGTTACTGGTTGCAGTTTAATAATTTCTCGTTCTTCAACAATCGCCTATTTTGATCTTAAAACGCTTGTTTTTCAAGTGCCTCACATATCGCAAAGGCATCCTTGCGAGAAAACTTTGTATTCAGTCTACAGTGAATGACCATAGCCACATAACATAGAATTACGTTATCGCGATTTCCTGCCGTGATAAACAAACGCCAAAAATAAAGTCAACGACACGCTCGCTCTGAATTTTATGGCGTCTAATAATTATTTGCTACATTTTACCCGGTTGTTTCAGGTTCCCCAGTAATGGCTAGGCGTAGAATAATTAAATGAATAACAAATCGGAAACAGTACATGAATACCCAATGAGTGCTGAAAGACAATAAAACGTCGGCAATAAAAAATAAGCAAATTGAAACAGTGAAATCGGTTAAATTTGCTAGAATTTAATGCCTAAATGGTGGAGCTTCTTATTACATACCTATCAAAACTAAAAAATGTCACAAAATTGCATTAGGTTTGCAGATCCGCACTTTCCGCGCTAGATTTCGTTCATGGACATAGATCAACACGGGTCAGCGACGGGCCGAAAGGGTGTAGCCATAGCGTTTTTCCCCGATACAGAACTGTTTGTCATTTTTTGCGAGGCAAAACCTACGCATACAAAAACAATCGCCTGTCACAATATAGTTTGCACATGACAGTTAAAACAATAAAATAACAACTTCACACACGCATAGATATGTTATGTAACAGTTTCTCTCGGTGATAGCGAAAACTCGGGTACAGACTCGGATCAGTCGCCCGATCGACCTGTAACGCCAAAAGTCACTTACGGTAAGCTGTTTGTATACTATACGTATTATAAAAAAGTAAGTGAAGTAAAGATACAGCCTATAAACGTCCCACTGCTGGGCATAGGCCTCTTCTCATTTCTGAGAGTGTCTTCGAAATATGTTTTAAAATTTCTTAGACTTGAAGTTTCCTCACGGTATTTTCCTTAACAGCCGAGCACATGGTAAATCAGCACTTCAAATTGCAATTAACAATTTCATTGACACCGGTGGGGATAGAGCCCGGGTTTCTCGGTTCCTGTAAAATATATAGTGAACGCTAAGATCCTGAGCTACCATGACCAGGCCTATATGTAATACTAGCTTATTACCCGCGACTTCGGCGGCGTAGAACTTAAGCTAAAATAAACTAGCAGATTTATATTATTGGCCTTTAGACAAGAAGTTCAATTGGGTGGAAAAACTATTTTATGCTCATATTTTTGTGAGAAAATGTTGAAAATAAAAATTAAATTCACAGAATAGTAAAATTACCTAGTAAACCTACTTACGTGAAATTAATACAAAAGTATTAATTTCACGTAAATAGGTTTTCACTTTATCCTTCAACATTCACATTTTTGTTGTAAATGGTGTGTAAGATAAGAACATGTGTGAAAATAGAATTTTCATTAACAGTTTTTAAGATAAAAAGTTGGAACCACTTGGAGTGAAAATGAAAACTTTTGTGTGACACTTTGTTTAAAACCTTTTTTTATATCTCTTAGTAGCGATTCGCCCCAGCTCCGTACGAGTGATTTCTGAATCTTGATAACAGCGCCACCTTGTGGGTCAAATTGTGAATCGCTTAAATCATCCAGTGACCCATCATTATGCTTTTTTTTATATTTGTGTTTGACACAAAAAATTTCATCAAAATCGGTCCAGACATTTTTGAGTTATTGCGAGACTAACGGACAGCAATTGATTATTGTAACGGGTGATTCAAGTAGAGATACTTTTTTCAATAGCCTTTTTTGACAGATCACGTGTGAGTCGTTTCATGCTGTCATGTTATTTTTGTTTAGTATTGTTTGGCATTTCATAATGGAAAGACTTACGCCTGAACAACATTTACAAATCGTTCAACTTTATTACGAAAATTCACGTTCTGTGAGGAATGTGTTTCGTGCACTTCGCTCAACATATGGTCAACATAATCGGCCCACTGAGCGTACTATTCGCAAAACCATCACCCATTTTGAGACCCAGCATTCATTATTGGACAATATTCGACCGAAAAGACCACGTCCAGCACGCTGTGAAGAAGATATAGTGGCCGTAGCTGAGAATGTACACGAAGACCGTGAAGAGTAGATTCGGCACCGTTCGCAGCAACTCGGGCTGACGTATGGTACGACTTGGCGCATTTTACGTCAAGATATTAAATTGAAAGCGTACGAAATACAGCTTGTACAACAACTGAAGCCACTCGACCTTCCCAAGAGACATCGCGTCGCTCTATGGGCTCTTGAAAAGTTCCAAGAAGATTCGACGTTTTCGAGGCAAATTTTGTTTAGCGGTCAGGCCCATTTCTGGCTCAAAGGGTATGTAAACAAACAAAATTGCTACATTTGGGACGAAGAGCAACCTGAAGAGATTCAAGAACTGCCACCTCATCCAGAAAAAACAACGGTTTGGTGTGGTTTGTGGGCCGGTGGAATCATTGGTCCATATTTCTTTAAAAATGATGCCGGTGCGAACGTAACCGTCAATGGGGACCGTTATCGTGCCATGATAACCGACTATTTGATGCCTGAAATTGAAGCTCGTAATCTCGGCGCCATTTGGTTTCAGCAAGGCGGCGCCACTTCCCACATATCGCATCAATCAATGGATTTGTTGAGAGAACATTTCGGTGAGCACATAATTTCACGTTTTGGGCTGGTCGATTGGCCACAAAGATCGTGTGATATCACACCGTTAGACTTTTTCCTGTGGAGATATGTAAAGTCTAAATTTTATGCGGACAAACCCGCTTCGATTCAGGCCTTGGAGAAAAACATCACGCGTGTCATTCGCCAGTTACCAATCGAAATGCTCGAACGAGTCTTCGAAAATTGGACTCAACGGATGGACCATCTGTGACGTAGCAACGGCCAACATTTTATAGACATAATCTTCAAAAAATAAATGCCAAAGAATTTTCTTTCAAGTGATAATAAACATTCTATATTAAATTTGAATATTATGTGTTTTTTTCTTTAAAAAAGTAGGGAACCTCGAAATGGATCACGTCTTATATAGAGTTTGAAATTAGAATATGAGAACATCCTCAAAAACTATCACGTTTATGCTTTTTTGATTTAATTGAAAATCCTAATTTTTTGGACTAAATATAGTTTAGGTCAATATAGGCTTGTGAAGTTTCATCACAATCGATTCAGCCATTCCAAAGATTAGACCAGTCAGACAGACAGATAGTTTTTTAATAAATGTTTATGTATGTCTTTATAGCATGCAACGGATCCTCTGCGCTCGATAAAAGACGGTTATTTGAATATTACAGACAGATATTTCAATTTTATTTATATGGACCTATAGATATATAGATAAGACTGTATAATATAATATATTTCAGGTTTTGTCTACAACTCTGACTGCAAAATAAAAAAAGCCATTTTTAATACGTGTTAAATTTTTATAAGATTTTTTTCACGGTTAACGGTTTCGCAAGAAAATAAATGATTAGAAATATAACAAAGTCTAACGATAATGACGTCTATCGTTATATTATATTAGACCGTTAGAAAAAAAATTCTTAACGAGTGATTGCCGATAGTAGATATAAAATATTTAGAAATTTGAAGTGTTATTTCGATTATTAGATAATGAATTACACAAGTGATGTATCAGAAGAATTAGTATATTTATGTTAGTAGCATTGAATTTTGAATAACTTAATTACTTTGTTTCGGTAACCAAAAAAAAAAGATTGTAGAGAATTTTGAAAGGACAACTGTACTAAAGGAATTCCAGCAAAGTTAAACATTTGTTAGATCGAATAACTGTTTTGACGGTTGATAGGTTTTGTTTTTATATTGTATTTTATAATCTACACTCATTTTCCTGTCATTTTATTTGCTTATTTTCTAGATAAATCTATAGGTTATTCATTATTGAGAACAGACTTTTTTAAGCATTTTCTAATATATTTATTAAAACTATAAAAAGTAAGGATTTTTTTTATATAAACGTTTGTTTTAATTATGAACTGCTTTAAGTCATCGTCATTATATCAAGTCCACTGCTGAACATAGGTCTTCCCCAAAGAATGCCACAAAGCACGGTCCTGATCCACCTGCATTCATCGACTTTCTGCATGTCTTACTAGGTCATCACTCCATCTAGTGGGGGGTGGCCACGTCAGCTATAGGTACGAGGTTGCAAATCGAGAACCTTTTTTTCCCATCGGTTGTCGGTTCTTCGGGCTATATGGCAGGCCGGCAGTAGCTTTAAAACGTCTTTCAATGCTGCGGTGAAAAGTTTCGGAGATATAACGTCACCCTATCTTACACCTTTCTGTGGTTGGATATGGTTCGTACTATGCT